CATTTGCATTGGAAATTACCTCTTAATAAATACCCCTTAATATGTGTAAGAAGAGTTTAGAAAAAAATTATAAATTTAAGGGACAAAGTAGATTAGGTCTTATATTTAAAACCAAAAAAAGAAGAATTTTTTAACATACATGTATATTATATATACATATGTTTTACCTTGACTTATTATTGTGTAGATTGTTAGTTTTTTGAAAAATGTATATACTACCTCCAGTGCTATTTATAAACTTTAAACTTGGGAATGAATGGTGATCGATTTTATAAGCTTTAATTTATATTTGTCTTAACATTTAATGTATTTGTTCCTTAATTTTGTACTTTTATTCTTTCTCGTTTGCCAGTTGCCATACTCTTTGTCATTTATTGTTCCTCTCACTTACCCATATATTATCTCCTTAATTTATTGCGTTTTAACTCATTTTAACCACCTTTTGTTACACACAAATAGTCATTTGAAACTTATATTAATAAGAGTAGGGGGGAGTAAGGTTTAAAGTTTTTTTAAGTCTTGGTAGGACGTGTTAAAAATGACTTATAAATAGGATTAAAGAAATATATACTTGGGCATGTATTAAAGAAAGGTTGAAATGTTTGTGCGCGTGCATTCATATTTTTAAATCATACCCCTCTTGCCGTATTTATAAGGTGGAGAGAGAAGATTTTTCTTTGTCCTATTTATAAGTAATTGATTTTATTAAATTTTTAACATGATGTATTATTTTTTCGTTCATTTATTATAGTGTAGAGAGTTATTTTCTTAAAAGGTGTATGTATACTAAATAGAAGTAAAGTTAAAAAGTTGTTATATTTTAATAGAAAATTAATATAGTTTAAGGTTTTTTTGTTTATGTAAAACAAGCTAAAAGTGCTTTATAAATAATAGAATCGGACAAGCATTTAATAAGAGAGAGGGGAAGAGAGGGGGAACTGCTGAGGTGAAGTGGGTGGGAAGCTTGAATTCAACAAAACTTCAAGGAGAACACATCTCTTGATTGCTATACTTTAGGTTTTTCGGTTGGAATGAAACCCACCACAAGGTAAACATAACATTTTGACTCTCATGAGCATAACAAACACGCCCTTCAATACTTTATTACAGGAACCTTATTAATAATTCTAAACAGATCAAGAAAGAGTTTAATTAAATTTATGTTTTTGGATATTTTTAAAATTTAAAATTCTGGTCAATGAAATTCATTAATAAAAAATATTATTTTATCAATTAAGAGGTTGTTAATTTAACCAGATAGTGTTCAACAAAAGAAAATTAATATTTTAGATAATTTTTTTTACATGGATCTTAAGAAATTAAATGGCATCATAATAAGGATCAGATGAGGATATTATAAACTCTCTTTTTTTTTGGCCTGGGAGGATAATATAAACTAACGGGTGTCCTACTATATATAGAGTTTTATATAATTCAGTATAAGGTATAACTCACGGCTTATAATTTAGGAACAGCATGTGCCTATGCTTTTTTTTTTTTTTTTAATTTCTTTTATCGAGAGCGAATACCATGCTACTATCTTCATCTCCTATTATAAGATTCAAGGAACCGAATTACATGTTTTAAGTAAATTGTTAAAAATTAGTTAAAAATATTTAGAAAGTGCACCCTTTTCCCTCCAAATATGCTCTTATTTATAAATGAGTAGATGAATCACAAAAAAACTACGAGAGACTGCATGGAAAAAGGATAATGAGAGATCATATATTAATTAAAAGTAAAATGAGTAAAAATGCATTTAATCCTTTAACGAACCCAAAATGAATCTTATAAAAAAAATCAATTTAAAAATTTGAATCTTATAATAAAGTGCTGAGAAAGTATTTTGATTTAGTTCCTATTTAACATCAATCTTCAGGCTGGGGGTATCGGCTATCGTTGCCGTGAATTGTCCTCTTTCAAGTGTTTTTTTTTTTTTTGGGGACAAAATTAATCATTTAGTCCTCAACGGTAGTTCAGACGAGGAAATCAAGTCGGATTTACAAGAAAGATAAGCTCTTCCAAAACTTGAGACTTTTTATTAAACTAAGCAGCTTTTTACCAGTTGAGCTACACTTTATTGGTCACTATTATAATGTTTATTATTAGAATTATATTTAAAAATAATTTAATTTTAAAATTACCTGGATTGCTTTTTATATAGATTACTTTTTGTAAAGAAATAATTATTCCACTTTGTTTTGAGAAGAAATTGGTATACCTGAGTAGAAAAATTCAGCTCACATTTTTTTTAACTAAGCATAAATATTTTCTTACTTATTTAAAATACAATCAAGCACTAAATATGAACACATTTTTTTAAAAAAGAATTTAAAATTTAAAATATTAACTTTTTTCGTTAGATGCAACCTTAGTCAATCAAAAAAGTATATCAATATTTTGGAAAAAAAACTGTCACAAGCAATATTTTTTAAACTATTTCCTCAGTGAGCTGGTCTATAAAGTGCTGTTTTAAAAGCTCTTTTTCTGCTAGTGTGGTAGCTCACCCTTTGTTTGTAAAAGGCGTTTTATGTATTTCAAAACGAAAATCGAATGATTTTAACTGATCTTATTTTAAAAAGAAATCGTACTATACCTAATATATTATATATATATAATGTATCAAAAATTATATAATGATGAATCATACCCGCTGCTTCTTTAAATTTAAAACTAAATTTATATATCCAAAACTACCTAATTTTTCACAAATACCTTTGTTGCTCTATTTTCTTACACACTCTCCGTTTTGATTGATTAATAGCACTCCTTTTCAAGGATTTTGTTTTGAAGGAGACGTGTGTTAATTACTTATAAATTTTGCTGATTATTATTTTATGAATAAGAATACTAAAATCTTGAAAGTTGTTTTATACTCTATTTATTTTATTTTTAAGAGACATATGGGAGAGTTTTTTTTTTCCTTTTGTTTCCAAATATATGAAACATCGTTAGCCCATCATTTGGTACATTTATTGCATTATTCTCAGTCATTATTTTTTTAAAAAAATTGACATTATAATATAATTAGGAAGTATGATTAATTTTAAGATTAATATAATATTTGGTGCTTATAGTTTGTTTTTAGTAACTTTTTAATCCTTATAATTTCAAACTATAAGTTTTAATCTCTTAAGAAGTAAAATGGTTCAAATTCTTATTAAAACATAGCGACTAACATTTTATATAGGAAAAAAAAAAAAGAGGTCAAAACCTATATGTGTTTTAAAACGTACAGAATTAAAATAAAAAAAGGGGCAAATTATAAGGAATATTAACATTAATTTTAGTACTACTTCCGATCTTGATTATAAGACCTTATTTGTAAACTACAAATAAGGTCTTATAATTAGATCAGAAGAAGTAATAATGATTTATATTAATCATTTTATCTTATAATAAAAAATGGAGAGGATAAAAAGGAAGGATGAGAGTAATAAATTAAATATTATTCGGCTGATGTTAAACCCTATCATCATCGTCAAATTTAGTTAAAATACAGAGATGATGAAGAAGCCGAATTGGAGAAAACCGAGGAGGGCTCATAACTGTGAAAACAACTTATGAATGAAATAAAGCTAATCACTCCCATGCACCCGTCCCTTTCCTCTCTCTCTCTCTCTCTCACACGCACACACCCACAACTGTACTTACCCTCATTTAGTGCATATTAATTCAACTTGGATACCATCCTCAATATCAATTTATAGGTCATTTTTCTTTTTGCATAATTGTTTTTATTTAAAGCTTATTTTCTTTTTCTTTTTCTTTTAAAAATACTCTCTTATTACAGTTTTCAATAAATATATATAAGATGTTTTTCTTTAATATATAAGATCTTTTCGTTAAAAGTTACTCATATTAATATTTGAGGAAATATATGCAGATTTGCAAGATCATGAGCCGTGTGATGAGTAACTCTGTATACATAGTGTTGATTCTTTCCATAATTTATTATCAATAACCTATACGAAATTTTATATTGATCTGCATGGAATTTTTATTTTATTATTATTTATATTTCCATCGCCACTCGACCTATCACTAAGTCAATTAATCTCACACACTTACATGCCATCTTATTTTCAGAAGTTACATTTAAATTATACATTTTAACTATTCTAAAACAAGTTCGGGTCGAATTATCTGTGTATTTACTTAGCTTAAGAAGCTAACATATTACTCTGATTTGTATTAGAAGACATCTAAAATAATTAAGTGATATTATTATGAGCAAGTGGTATTAATTACATTTTTCTAACGTTGTCCCTAATTAAAGTTTAAAGCAAATTTCCATTTTGTTTCTCTGTAATTCATAATTTTTAATTATGAATAAATCTAAAAAATTATTTTAAAATAAATCTAATAACTTAATCACTATATAGGTCGGCTAAAATGATTGAAGATGCTTTATAATAAAAACACTAACATGTCAACCTCTTATATAGTGTGCAAAAATCACGATTCACATGTTGATGGATCAAATTGGAGCCGCAAATTTGGTCATATTTGTTTCTGAACGAAAAAGAAAATCAAATAATTTTAAGAAAATGTAGGTATTATATATTTTATAAATAAATACATAATTTGTGGGGTTAATTTTCATGCCTTCCAAGGTCAACCGATCTCTCTCTCTCTCTCTCTCTCTATCTCTCTATCGTCCTATCTATCTGTTCCTAGTGTAGCCTGTAGACCTGTGTTGAGTTATGATACATCACCCAAAGCCACAATACAGGTACGAGTACAAGAACATTACATTAAAAGGCCACATTATGAAGGGAGAAGCCTAACAAAACATTACACTTCTCTCTCTCTCCCCTGCTTCTCTTCGATCCTTTCATTTAACTTTAGTGGCGCCTCTCTCTCTCTCTCCATGCCTCTCTTTCTCCCTCACAAGTCTCAGATCCATATGAAGTTTCATCTTTCCATCATCACCAAACAAACGCACAGATAGATAAGTCAATCCCCATCAATCAATCAAATCAAGAATCCTCATCATCATCATCGTCAGAGAGAAAGAAAGTGATCTCAAATCAATTAATCCTCAGAAAACGGAAACAACAAAAGAAACATGTCGGCCTCATCATCATCCACTTCTTCCTTTTCACCGGACCCCCATCTCTCTCCCTCCGACCAGCTCTGCTATGTCCATTGCCATTTCTGTGACACTGTTCTTGCGGTATCTCTCCATCCCTCCCTTCCTCTCTCTATATATATATGCATACGTATTTCTCCTTTCTTGTCTTATTCTATGCCCTAAACCTAAATTTTTAAGCTGCTGCTTCTTCTGTTGTGTCCATGTGTGTGTGTGTGTGTGTGTGTGTAGGTCAGTGTTCCTTGCACCAGCTTGTTCAAGACCGTCACTGTGAGATGCGGCCATTGCACCAACCTTCTGTCTGTGAATATGCGTGGCCTTCTTCTTCCTCCTGCCAATCAGCTTCATCTCGGACACTCCTTCTTGCCCCCTCAGAATCTTGTGGTATATATACATATATAAAACCTAGGGTTTTCGTAAATTTGTGTTTTCTTCCTTGTCATACGCTCGAAGCATGTAGATGGATGAGTAAGAACATACTCTGGTACTTGGTCTTCCAAAGCAACCGCAGAAAAAGAAGATCACGACCTTGTGTTGAGTTTACCTCTAGTGATTAGAGTCTAGAGATACTTAGCTATCTCACATACTGTAATTTCCGGCTTTAGATTTAGTATTTGAACGGTCATCGAATTTATTTCTAGATGAAAGAATAATGAAACAGTAGCAAAATCATCCAGGTACTAAATTAAAGTGAGACAAAAACTAGCTGTGACAGATCCAATGGATGATGGTAATAGGGTTATCTCTTGATGAGAATGAACCAAGATGCACGTGTGTGTGTGTGTGTGTGTGTGTGTGGGATGACTATAGAACTCTGGTTAATTATAGTTATGTGGGGTTGAATTTAGGAGGAGATTCGAAATGCACCGTCTTCAAATTCAAATATGCAGATGATGAGCCATCATCATCAACTTCCACACCCAAATGACTCAGTTGTGAGCACCATGCGTGGAGGAGGAGGACTTGAGGAAACCCCTAAACCTCCCCCAGCTGCAAACAGACGTAAGCTTTTCGATCCCTTAATCTATCGGTCTGATACAAAACAGAGGACATGTTTGTGTGTGCAATGAAGTTTCTGTAATGTTTGTTTTCTCTTTTATCCTTGAGTTGACCAAAGTTTTTTGTGAAGTCATATCTGGAGACTAGAAGAACTGAAAAAAGGGAATCCTGCAGATACGAGCTAGTAAATCATTCATTATTTGATACAACTTTAGCTTTTAAGTGTGAAACCACTTAACCAATGGAGGTAAAAAGGAAGAAAAGTAAGCAAAAATGTTGTATCTCTATCAATCTGAACGTGGTTCTTGGTATACTGCAATAAGCGGCAATAAAAGAAAGAATCTTTAACACATTTATCTCATGCCTGCCTTTTTTCCCACCTCTCTCTTTCCTGCTGCTTTATTCAGTGCTTTCCACAGAGCTAGCTTTAGTTCTTCAATTTGCTTACCAACATTAAATTTCCTAAATTTTTCAAAATTTGAAATCTAGCCCCTTGCATGCAAATATAACATCAATTCCCAGAACAGTACAACTGCGGAATCATGAAAGCAATAGTTAATTTTCTTTTCACCTTGGGAAGTACAATTTCTTTCTTCTTTTTCTTTCTCTGAGTTGAAGAGTTTATGTGTTCTGAGATACATGCAAGAACTCACATTGAGAGAGACTCTGAGAGAGAGAGAGAGAGAGAGAGAGAGATCTTATTATCCCCCGAAAATATAGTGCAGAATCCAGGGGGGTGATTTGTTACAGAAAAATTTGATAATGATGAGGCAATGATAGAAGGAGGAGGAGGAGGAAGAGGATGAAGTGAGGAGAGAGAGGTTATGAATTAGACAAAAGGTCAGCGAAGTGAATTAATGTTGTTGTCTGTTTGCCTGAGCATAATGTCCTTGTTGTTGCATGCATGTCCAGCTCCAGAAAAGAGACAGAGAGTTCCATCTGCTTACAACCGCTTCATCAAGTAAGTTCCACTTTGACAACTGATATATATTAGTATTAATTCATGTTATTATATCTCAAAATTACAGTACTCTCAATAATTTCAATTCCTAATTTGTCTTGACCGATCAATATAGCTGCAAAATGAACTGATTAATGAAAGAGATATTATGGTTTAGGCAATCTAGGAGTAACATCTATATTGTATATGTCACCTAATGAACAAGAGTTGATAAATATAAATGTTAATTAGAGTTGTTAACTTGTTAATAAATTTTGTCAAATAGCTCTGAAAATTAAATCTAAAGCTGGACATAACTTTGGTAATTTGAATTTCAGGGACGAGATCCAACGCATCAAAGCTGGGAATCCTGATATAAGCCACAGAGAGGCCTTTAGTGCAGCTGCAAAGAATGTAAGATCCAAGAAGATTCTAAATCTTAATTACTCTACAATGGATTTCTTCTATTATATAAATTTCAAACAATGTTAAATATTTAAAATTAAAACAATATATATTCTTTGGCTACTGGAATTTTCAATATATTCATAACCATGAACACATATAAAATAATTACGAGTAATAAAGAAGGAAAATTTTATTAAAATGGCACATACATAGTATAAGTAATTATATTTTCTATGGGCAAAAAAAAGTAATAATATTTTTCTTAATATCATTAATTCATTATGTATCCTGGACTATATAAAGAATATATATGGCTGGTCAAAAAAAAAAAAAAAGAATATATATGCGCTTAAAAAGGAGTTGGGTGTTTTGATAAACGAGTCCCTTTGACTTGTTCCTTTCAGTGGGCCCATTTCCCTCACATACACTTCGGACTCATGCCTGATCATCAACCCGTGAAGAAAGCCAATGTGCGCCAGGTACATCTCGGAACCCTAGCTACAGTACGTTTACTTTATTTTCATTTTCATTTTTATTTTTGCGGAAATTTCAACTTCAAACTCAATTCAAATTTTGACGGGGAAATTGACCCAAAAAAAATCATAAAAATTACAAAATCTCAAATCACGTATTATTATATAAATATGTTATTATTTGCAGGTCAAGTTTTGTCAAAACCTGTTAAAGTATGATAACAAATCTTGATTTAGAATTTAATAATTTTAAATATATGTATTTGTCATTCTCCCAATTTCTAACATTTTAGCAAACATATGATACGACTTGAGTGTACCATTCTTAAGCCCTAGTTCCTTTCTTCATTTGATTTAGGTCGCACAACAAAAGATACACCTAAGCAGATAAATTTCTTAAATTAAGAAGTTGATAACTAACATTACCCCGTTCTTAATATAAGGCTATAAGTGCTATTTAAAGAGTTAGATTTGATTTTAAATATGAGATTTTAATCTATTTGGCTTTTTATATTTATCATATTATTTTTAAACTATACTTATTAATTACACATGCATGTTAAGGAAGTTCATATGAGGAATAGTCTCAATGCAAATGATTTAAAAAAGTATTTAAAGAAAACCAACAACTATTTTTTACAAATAATTAATTTTATAGTTTTTCTCATCTACTTAAATTAGTTAAATATATTTTATATTAAGAAAAGAATGTAGCATCGTGGTATTACAGGTTGTAAAGATTTAAATAATAAAGGGAGAAAGACATAAAAATATCCCAAAATCTGAAAAGCCCAATTTAGGATCCTAAAATGGTCTAACCATTATTGTGAAGTCACTAGGGATTATTTTGAGATTAAATTTTATACTGAAATTACCAAAATGCCCTTAATTTGAAAATACTCCTTCGGTCCAAATGTAAGACCTAATTATAGAGTCAGCCTTAATCATAAATTTAGATTTATTTATGATATTTATTAATTTTTCTTATATTATCCTATATATTGATATTTTCTAAATCATAATCAAGTAAAAGAGGGAGGATATTAAAGAAGATTATGAGGATATTTTAGAAAAAAACATATTATATTTATTATAATTAACTAACTTACCTAACTTTATTAATTTAATTAATTAGTTATATAGGTGTTGCCGTCTTGCATTAAGAATCAAAGGAATAGTTTATTAATGACGACTACTAAAGAAGTGAGAATTAATTTTACAAAAGTTTCTTGTTGAATATCAATTTTAACTTACTAAATGATCACATCTAAGTGACAAATAATTTTACTAAAAGTAATTAGGTCATTTACAAAAACTACACCACATAGCCACATAGCGCTATCGGATGAGAGGTGTAGGCATGTGTTCGCAGGGTTTCTGATATGGAATTGTAAATGTTATGCGTGTAGGAAGGAGAAGAGGTGCTTATGAAAGAAGGATATTTGGGTCCCACAAACGTCGGTATATCTCCCTTTTAACTATTAAGCGATCAGTGTCTGTAATTGTTAGGGTTTCTGCTGCTAGCTGCTGGTTTGTGATGAAGATATATATAAATAGCTGACTCGTTTGTTGTGTTATCGTTGTTACTTTGTTTGTTGTAGTGTTATATAATTAAGGTGGTTATTATGTTAAATATGAGGAGGATGGACTCTGATGTGAATGAAGCCTAGTGACTACTGTAATTGTTTTGAACATCCATGAAGGCTCACGTACGTACGTACGGCTTTCTTTCTTCTGTAGAACTAATGACGAACGGTGTAATCTCCCAACATCATGGAAATGACTTTTGTCAGTTGAGAACTCGAGATTTTGTTCTACGGATCAATGGGTTGTTTTGGTTATATATGTTTTATTGCTTAGTATAAGAGTTAATTGGTGATCATAATTGATCATAACTATAAGAGCTCCATCTACTTTTTCTCTAATATTTATTTATTTTGCCCTTAAATAATAATCCACATGATAATTACATATATTAATGAGTTTTTACAAAATGGTAATTTTAATACACATGATTGATATAAGGTATTTAGGAAAGATTACCCATTTATTATAAATAACTAATTTAAATAACTTGTTTAATATCGGTAAATGAGTCATATCTAACTCTTATATTAAGGACCATAGACGTTTTGTGTGCGTGTGTGAAAAGGAGATATGATGAGGACTTCCGAATAGATAATTAAAAAGAAGTCCATACAAAATCCTCACTAGCTGATGACTCACGTTGATGTTACTCCCCTAACCCCTGCCTTCATTCTCATATGTTTACACCAGAAAAATTAATCAGCAAGTCTTTTTGACCTTATAACTTAATTAAAAATAGGTAAAACTGTAAGAATTTTATGGGAAAAAAAAACTCTCTGCTGCAAGTAACCCACATCTTTCTCATACTTTTGTCTTTCCATTTTCCGCTCTTTATCTCTCTCATGGACTCGGACAACAGTGGCAATATGCAATCCTCTAGAGGGGTGACGAAGCCTTAGGATCACTTATAAGCAAATTTAACATAAGTCGAGACAAACTTTTTTTAACATATTTATCTTGTATTTCATAAATCATGCATGATTAAGAAGTTATCTATAAGCTATTTTAAACAGACTTGAAAATTATGATTTACATGTCAAACTGAATCATTTGCTGCTCTCCTATGCTTTTAACATCTGCTACTGAATTAAAACAATGGCGTATTCATAAAAAAAAAATTATTTTGTATTATAAAGGCAAATATTTTAGGGGCAAAATTGCTTCTCTAAATATTTTAGGGTGCTAGAAGCATCTCCAAAAATAATTTAAAGTATTGGGTTCCTATTAACCCTATTTTTAATCAAGTTTTTGTAGTTTTTTTTTTCATTTTCGTCAAGTTTCTTACAGTTTTACCTATTTTCAATTAAGTCATTACAATTTTTTTAATTTTATCGGGTCTTATAATTTCACCTAATTTTCAGTTAAGTCCCTATAGTTTCAAGTCATTGATAAAAAGAAAAAAGGCACAAGGACTCAATTAAAATCATCTGAAACTATAAGCATGTAAGACTATAAGCCCTTGATAAAATGGAGGGGGAAAAAAACTAAAAGGTCCTGATTAAAAACCAAGTAAAACTGTGAGAACTTGCAAACTAGCTAATTTTTCCTTATATATACAAATACTTTTTGTCCCCTAAAAGATCAAAATGATATCAATTAAAAATCAGATGCAAGAGTTAAAAAGCAGAAAAAATAAGAGGGCAATGAAAGAATGGCTTGAACGATCACATTCATTTGAGCATCGTTAGAAAGTGAAAGTTTGCAGAATTATCATATGTGTGTAAGCGAGATATGTGCACACACGTATCTTTTATTAATATATTTTCATATAAATATATTAAAACCCTAGTTTGAAACTTAAAAGTTAAGACATCTAAAAACCCTAATTTATTACTAGGCCCGAGGCCCTTATTCATAAACCAAATGTTTTTTTAAAAGAAAAGAACTAATAAAAAAATACAATAAATGGAATAGGATAAGATATACCCAGACAGGATAATTCAAAGGATCTGAGGCAATATATTGAAATATACTAATAAGATATTGTAATATCTTATCTTTTAAAGTTAAATTCTGTTTTAGAAAGAGTAAATTAAACGTTAGATTTAATCGATGATAAATTATAAAATCAAACTAAAACTCTTAAATTTCAACTTGAGAGAGCTAGAATGAACTGATCCTAAATAATTAACATTGGTCAAATTTGACTTAAAGTCAAATTTTTCTTAACAGAAAATAATAGAAAACATATCTTTTAACAATGTCATGTAGATGGGATAGAGAGAGAGCGAGAGAGCGAGAGAGCTAGAAAAAAAGGGACTCTCTCTTCTTACCTTAAGATCTTCTTCGTTTTCGTTAGATTAATATCTGAACTATTTAGATTTAGATTTAGATTTTTAAATGAAATTATGATATTTGAAGTATTAAATTATAAAGAAATAAATAATAAAACTTCAAACTGCTAAGATTTTATATTAATATGTAAAACTGAAGTAAATAAAAAATTTAAATAATATTTTATAAAATATTAAATCTGAATCACTAGAATATTGATCTACGACCTCTTAGAATCTTAGAATATATATAGTTATATATATATATATATATATATATATATATATATGGAGAGTCGGAACACAGTCATTCGCCATTGGTGAGCCTCTGATCTCTCCGTCAAACCTTTGTCGGACGTCATTCCTTCATCATTTGGTTAGTTTGAATTTTTATTTCTGCTGTTTTCAAATTTTGTTAGAACTTATAACTTATAATTTATAATTACGTGTATATACTTCTATTGACTTAGACATTGAGGGCTGAAATTAATAAATTTCAGCTGAAAATTTATTTATGGGGATTTTGCTTATTATATTGCAAACTTTAATTTGTGATCTGGGTATTAGGCTATAGTTCTGGGCGTTTTTTCATGTGGAAGCCCATCATCATCTGTGTTGGGTCAGTCTTTTTCCCATTCTTTTCTATTTCTATGATACAAGGAAGCAAAGTAATAAGTTTATGAGAAATATTGCAATAATATAATTTTTTTTTAAAAAAAAAAACATATTCTGGGAGTGAGCTTCTATGAGAGTCCAAGCTTAGTCACTTTGTTATTCCTGCTTCCCTTTGAGAATTAATTATGTTTCTCCTTTAATATAAATATTTCAAGACATTATATTTTTTCAATTCTTTATCTAATTCTATATTATTACTTTATATTCTTATAAATTTATCTTCTGTTCTTTCCAGATCAAACTGATATTTTCCCTCACAAGAAACAAACAAAGCAACCCTCACCCAACCATCCAACCATGACATCCTCTTACGTTTTAATTTCCGAGGAGTTGATGGAAGACATGTTCGAGATCAGTTTCACAGTCATCGAACATGGGGTTTCACCATTCACCGGGCTTCCTCGAAGGATACCTCTTGAAGTGTTTGAATCTCCAATCACAATGCCATGTGAAGAATTAATTCGAGATGTTCCATTATTTCTTCGTCAAAACGTAGCCAACTATATTTCCGAAAACAATATTGAGCCATTGGCTTCTGAAATCATATCTTATTACCAACAAGTAGTCCAACGTACCGCCATTAATGGAACTACTCGTTATTATCACCACTTAATACCTCTGATCGTGTATCTTGATGTCAATACTACTTCTGATCATGGCTTAATTCCTTTGTCTTTTCATCTTCAAACTACTGCTCTATATGCAGATAATGAGTACGATGAATATATGGTATATACAGAAATCTATCATCCCACAGAGCCATCTATTCATCATCAACAATCTTCTGATTCTGATGAATCAACAGAAGTGAATCAAGTCATAGAGCAATCCATGCAACAACTGTTTATAGTTCCAGCAGCAGAAAAAGCTATGGCCTTACTTAAGAGGATGGAATTGTCCAGTGATGACATGAAGACAAGCCAATGTAGCATTTGCTTAGAAAGTTTTGATGATGATGATGAAGATGTTTCAGCTTTGCCTTGTCACCATTTTTTTCATAATGATTGTATTGCAAAATGGCTAAAAACAGGCCATACATGTCCGTTGTGTCGCTTTCAATTCCCTGTAGAGTAATTAATTTCATGAATTACATTCATTATCATACTGTTTTGTACTGTTACAATAAATTTTCATAATTCAATATTTCTTAGTGACATGTATTCCTTGGTTGTTATATATGTATTCTTTGGTTGTTTTTCGGCATGAATTTAAACTTCTTTGCCTTTTAGTTATTGAGGTTTTACTAGGAAGGAGCGCTTCGTAGGTTTCGAAGGAAAAAAAAAAAAGGATTTCATTTGTTTGGTTTGAGGGAAATGGAGGGAAACAAAGGGGATGAAAAATTTTAGGGCTTTTTTTGTTTTTGTTTTGTATTTTTTTGTTCTCAAAACAATTTTATAAAATTATTTTTTAAAGCACATTTTGAAAATAAAAAACAAAAAATATCTGCTTGGATAATTGTTCTAAAAAATTGTATTTGAAGGTAAACATGCTGAGACCAGAGGGTTAAGTTTTGATTAGAACTCAAATTCTCAAATGGAGCAAAGGTCATTGAGCAGAGAAGAAAGGGTGTTTCAATTTTTACAAACAAAAAAAAGGAAATACAAAAAACAAAAAGGGAAAATTGATAAAAAAAAAATCCCTGTTTAAAAATTTAATTGGCTAAAAGGATATGAATTTGAGTATGTGCAAATATGATCCTTGAGGGCAATATATCTTCTGCTGTGTGTAACATATCTTCTGTTATGTGCAAATAACTTCCGTATTGATAATTGTTGCATATCATTGATGATATGTTGTACAAAGTGGAAGATATGTTGCATTTACATATCATAATTGCACTTGCTCAAATTCAAGTTTTTTTAGCCAATTAAATTTTCAACCAGGGATTTTTTTTACCAATTTTCCCAAACAAAAACAAGAAAACAACTAAAAATTATTTTAGTTTTTTGGTTTTTAAAAACAAATTTTTGTTTTTTTGTTTTTAAAAACATTTAACCAAAAATAAATTACAAAACAAGGCTTTTTATTTTTATTTTTAAAAAAAACTGTTTTCAAAATAAGAAACCAAACAAGACCACAATTAAGTTAATTTTAAAAATTGAAAAAGTAGGGTTAAAATGTTTTAATTAATTTAGGTCTTATGCCTCTTTTCCTTACCAAAAAAAAGTTTTAATTAATTTTTATTACTCTTATATTTTACATCTTTTTTTTATTAAAATTTTAAAATTCTTACTTCT